ACCAGAATGAGGTCGGAGTCGATGATAGTGTGGATCCGGTGGGCGATCGTAATGACCGTACAGTTCGTGAACTTCTGTCTAATAGTGGTCTGAATGAGTGCATCGGTTCTGTGGTCCACATTAGCGGTCGCCTCGTCCAACACCAGCACCCGGTTGTCCCGTAGTATAGCCCGCGCCAGACATACCAACTGGCGCTGACCTACCGACAGATTACTGCCCCCTTCGGTCACCTCGGCGTCCAACAGGCCGGGCATCTGTGCGACCACATCCCGGAGCTGCACCTCCTCGATGGCGGCCCACAGTTCGTCGTCCGGGTGCTCACCAAACGGATCCAAATTCTTACGTATAGTTCCCGTGAAGAGCACCGGCTCTTGAGGTATGATCGACACGCGGCTCCGGAGGTCTCGCAGTCCTATCGTCTGAATGTCGACGCCGTCGATGAGTATCTGTCCGCCCGAGGGTTCGGTGAGTCTAAACAGGGCTGCAATGAGTGACGACTTCCCGGCGCCGGTACGGCCCACGACTCCCACCTTTTGGCCACCGATGAGCCGAGCGGTGATCCCTTTGAGCACCGGTTCCGGACAGTCGGCGTACGTAAGGCTCATGTCTTTGAAGTGGATTTCGCCGTTTTGTGGCCATTCAGGCGCCGGTCGATTGGCGGCACTGGACTCTAGCTCTGCCTCAGGTGTTAGGCGCGAGTACTCAACCATACGCTCGACGGCAGTCATATAGGACTCGAGATCTGCCGAGCATTTGATGGCGTACTGAGTGGTCGTCGTTAGGGTTAGGGCTGACAGACGAGTCAAACACAGGATTTGATTAATTTGTATGAATTCATGGTCTGTTCCAGTGATATCTCACCGGAGGATATGATAAGTCCGGCACTCCCTCCCGGAAGTCCTATACAAATATATTACGAATATTCTGTAATTCTGCTGAATATATGGGTTAGTATTGTATGTAATGACAAACCTTCGGGATATAGCATAACAAAGGCCACGACTGCCGTGATATACAGCACACAAATCCAGTCCATTAACACACCGAAGCCCCGGGAGGTGCAGATGTATAGGAAGAATGTGGAGGTGTTGTCGTTCTGGTGGCGACTAAACTGGCGCTCAAACAGGTTTTGGACACCAAATGATCGTATAGTCGACAGACCCGTCAGTGTTGTGCTGACATGCGAGTAGACTGGACTACGGGCTGTCATAAAAAGTTGTTCACAATTATTAAGTGAATTGTATTTTGTATGAAACGGCATAGGAGTACATACAGAGCCCCTCCATGCGTTTGATATCCCTGGCCGCCCGGATGTAGAGAACTCGACTCAAGAATACCAATAATAGCAAAATGATTGCCGGAAATACAAGAATCCAGTTGACGATTGCGTTCACTATTAGGTTCCCGATTACCAGGGATATTGACTTTTTGTATAATAAAAATTATACAGAATTAATATTGGTGTATAAACAATAATGGATACCTAGTATTAATTAAGCAATGTTACAGTAAATCACATTAGTACAGTACTATCTTATTATAATAAGTTATTATAATTTTAGACAATTATAATAAAATACAAACTATTATGAAATCAAACGCATTGGACGGTAGGAGCTCGTCCACAATACCGGTGTCTTTCGTGAAGCGATTAAGTATTTGACCTAAAAATTAATTT